AACCCAAACAAATAATGTAATAGTTACATAAATGTTTTCTAAGAATCGGAAAGTAATTAATGATATTGATTTACCAACTTCGCTTATGTTTATCTTATGGTAATATATAATATTCTTGGAGTGGAGGTCAAGGTGAAAATATATTCATTAGTGTCAAAATATCCGAAATATCTAGCCCATACACATTAGGTTTACGGTTACTATATAAATGAAAATCCTCTCATTCATAAAACTCCATCTTATTGTCATCTACTACTCAGTTACATTCAAGCATCTACAATTATGTCTGCGATAACTCATGTGTGTGATTTGAAACCATTCAAATCGATGTGGAAGATAAGGGTGAAGATCATACGATTGTGGAAACAGTATTCAGCTGCTGGTGGTATAACTATCGAGATGGTTCTAATCGACTCGAACGTATGGTTCTTCCCCTCTTTCTGTTTATATTTTTAGAATTTCTTTTGTTATTAATTTTTTCTTTTGTTATAACTTTTTGTAGGGTGTTAAGATTACGGCTTCCGTCAAAAAGGATCTGGTGAATCAGTTTGAATCCTTTCTGTCCGAAGGCAGTTCGAAGATTATCATCAACTTTGCGCTTAACCCCTCATGCGGTTCATACCGAACAACCATACATCCATACAAACTTGGGTTTCTGTCGACAACGCGTGTGAGGTGTTGTGATGCTTTGCCTGATGAGCTAACTGGTTTTGAACCAGCTAAGTACAGGGATATTCTGGATGGTACACTCAATACGGACTATTTGGTTGGTAAGTAGTTACAATTTAGTTATATTATATTTAATATTTGATTCGCCCGAACATTATGTAACACATCTATTATTTTTGCAGATATAATAGGCCAGATTGTCGNAGGTGTTGTGATGCTTTGCCTGATGAGCTAACTGGTTTTGAACCAGCTAAGTACAGGGATATTCTGGATGGTACACTCAATACGGACTATTTGGTTGGTAAGTAGTTACAATTTAGTTATATTATATTTAATATTTGATTCGCCCGAACATTATGTAACACATCTATTATTTTTGCAGATATAATAGGCCAGATTGTCGTGGTCACCCCAATTGAAGTTGTTTCCGCTAATGGGAAAGATACCAAGAAAATCACTGTGGAACTTCGGAACGAGAAGTAATTTATCCCTGTTATATAGTTTTATACTACTAACCCGTTATGGTTTACTTGGAGAAGGGGTTTTTGAATATCTTTTATTTATTGTAGGGATGAACGTCTACCAATGGTGTTATGGGGTAACTTTGCTACTGATGTCAGTGAGGCTATTGGAAGTGCCGGTGATAAAGCAATAGTTTGTGTGTTGCGGTTTGGAAAAATTAAAGTTTGGAAAGGTACTCTATTTAATATAAAGGTGTATATATATATAGGTGTCGGCTGATGTGATGATGTGAAAAAAAGGTGTATAAAGTTTAATCATCTCATCCCGTGCAAGACGCGATTGGATGATACTATATTTAATATAAAGGTGTTATCTTATTTTCAAGTTGTTGTTGATGTGATGATGTGAAAAAAATGCAAGTATGCTTTGATATAAAATAACAAAGTGTTATCTCTGATGATATCTATTAGAAATTAAAAAATGAGAACATATGCATTTGTCGTAACGTTATATCAAAATATGATGTAATGATATAGGTGCAAAGGCTCTTCCGCTATGGAACAATAACCTATACCATGGGAGTCACGAGCAATGAAAGCTGAACCAAGATCAACAATTGCTAAGATAGGATAAACAATATTATGCAATGTACATATCCATCACTCAAGCGTTGTTTTAACAAAATACTAATAAGTTATACGTTATATTAACCGATACAATTTCTTTCACTCTCCGTCACTCACCCCGCGCAAGGCGCGGGTTATCACCTAGTAAACATAAGAAATCAAAACAGAACAAGCTTTTGTTGTCCAGCTTTGCATCTAAAATGCTATAAAATAGTCACCAATTCGTACTCAAAAGTAACTTATTATAGACAAAAAAAAAAGATTTAGTATCATTTTTGCAGATCACATGTGTTACCGAAGAACCTCTTCATTGCTTGCTTGTTATTATGCATCCACACTTTGAAAACCTGTCTTCTCAGATTCACCAACTTACAAAACTTATCGATCTCTTCCTCATCTTTCTTCTGCATCCTCCACCCTAGACTCTCTGCAAATTCCTTCATCTTCTCCTTCTGTTCTTCATTTATTTTTGTCCTTATCCTCTTCTTCTTCTTCCTCATTCTCAAATCGTTTTCATTAGTTTTCTGGTTCCGATGATACACTTCACGTGGTTGAATCATCGCTTTGCACAAGCTGAAACTGCTGTAAAACCCCGGAGATATCAGTTCTTGTGTACTGTTTCTGTGTCCGGACACTTCCTTTCGGTGGAAACTCCGGTGGCAAGTGCAGGCTGCGCACTTTAGAGCACCAAGCGTGCCCTCTTCTCCTCCGGGCATGAACTCGCAGCATCCGTCCACCACGTGTCCTCCGGTTGAGACCGCATGGTTCTTCTTGCACTCCTTGTAATTGGTTTCTTGATCACCACGTGACCTTGGGTTTTGATTTTCTTTCTTGACCAAGAATGGAGGTAAAGACGGATCTGAACCAGGTTTGGCTTTCGGATCAGGGTTAGTATGTGGTTTTGCTTCTAAGGTTTTGGTTGAGATTTTTGTTGTGGAAGTAACTGCTTTGCATTTTCCTCCATGCTCCATTGTAAATCTGATTCGAAAAACACAACTTTATAATGGAGTATTGGTAATCATCAATCATGCATGCAAAAAAAAAGAAAAATTCTTAAAGCTGATGGATTTACTCACCTGGATTGGGATTAAAAAGCTTATTGTTTCAGCAAAGAGCTAGTAGTGTGCGAGATGAGAATCATGAGACTGAAGAAGAGGGAGAAATATATTTGGTGGTGGTGACTGGCGATGACGTGTGTGCATCTGTTTCCTGTCACCCATCAAGTTTATTTCACAAGAAAATCCAACAAAGTATTGTTTATTTGCAAAACACCCAAAACCTACTCGAGAAGAGAAGAGTGTGTGTGAGTGGTGCGGTGGTGGTGCCTATTAATTTCGAGACATTGTCATGTGTTTGTTATCTCTCACCACCTGCAATTTTGGTCCACCTCCCATTATTGCATTTTTCTCCTTTTCTCAATTTTCTTTTGTGATGATTTTATTGGTGCGGGTAACTAAGGGCATGATTAAGGCCTCTTAGCCGGGGTTTGACGTTTTTTTTTTTTTTTTACATTTTTCAACTAAAAGACAGCTCTTAGGACATGTTTATTGGAGTTCATTAGAACAACATTATTGGTATGTCCCATATTTGAGTCCTTAACATATTTTATGATTATTTTGATGTTTAGGACAAAGCTAAGAATTTTTCAAAATTTGTAGATTATTGGTACGATTTTTTGAGTCTTTAGCATTTTTTAAGAGCTTCAAGATTGTGTTTTGGTTAAATCAACACATAGTTTTTGATTTACATAATCAACTTCAGAAGCAATGTTATTGTTATAACACAACACCTTATGTGGTTACTCGACAACATAAACATAAGACGCTGGTTTGAGAGATTTCATCAAAACTAGGAAGAGTTAATTGGCGATAGCACCAACTTCAGTAAGTAGAGGCACAAGCTTGCCTTGCTTGTTACTCTCCATCACTTCTGCAAATATACCCAAATGTTTTTAGTTATTTCTTCCAGCCATCTCCATTAATGTACAGAGAGTTAGTATAGTGTTTCTCTTACGATCGCATCCACCGATATGTTTGCCTTTGATGAAAACATTAGGAGCAATGCTCTGTCCAGTCCACTCAGATAAAGCTGATTGGATCTCACCTCTATCATCTGCAAAATGTAAAAGAATCAGTTGTAAATTAGCATGAACCATAATTCAGGTTAAATGAAGGAATATCATTACAAGGATATCGACAGAGATTTTGGGTTACTTACTCATCTCATCGAGCTCAAGTACTTTAAAAGTTGCACCTAGCTGTTTAACCCTCTGGCAATAACCACAGTAATTCTTGCTACAAAAGAGAACATGATCAAAACCTTTAACAACGAGATGTGAATCAAGTAGTATACATATAAAGCAAATAAATTAACTTTGAGGACCACTAAACAAAGCAATCAACAATTAGTAGCATCCATTCTATTTCAAAAGGAAGTGACGATTAGTCTTATGTGAAAACAAACTAGATCAATCTTCAATTACTATGATATAATTCTAGTGAATCCTACAAAGCCAACGACAATCCAACAACGGTATGTATGCGTAAGATAAAATCAGAAACTCATCGAGAACTTTGAATGAGTAATATAAATCTATTTTATTTACAATCACAAACTACAATCCGATTTATCACAAACAACAATCCGATTCATCACATCAAAAGCAATCAATCCCAGACGAAAGATATAAATCATCAATCACAACAAAATCATCTAAATCCCATGACGGAGGAGGAACACATACCTCGTTTAGGTTTGAATCGGCGGAGAAGCTTCGGATGAGGCAACATATCGATTTAGGGATGTCGATTTGTTCTTACAATCCCAGAGAAGCTATTGCCAAAGCTTTCACGCGGAGAAGAGAGAATCGGGAGATGTCTGGAAAATACAAGACGTGATGCGACTTTCCCCAACTCTATTTTGAGACCCAATTGCCTGCTGCCACGTCACTGTTAAGGACGAAGCCCAAAGACCTTAATTAAGGTCCGTTTGTAATGTTTTTCAATCTTTCTGATTTATTTTTTGACCCAAAAACACTAAGGCCCGAGCTTAGGACGACCGATAATGTTGGTCTTAGAGCATGATTAACTCTATGGAGTTATAATTTTTTTTTCTTTTTTTTCATCTGATTTAAATAAAAAATAAAAAGCGAATCAATCGCAGGCCGTCACATGTCAGTGGGACTCGCGAACAATGCAAGAACCCAAGCAAACTTGACTCTTGCAGAAGAAGAGGAAGAGGTAATTTCTATGAAAATGGTGGGATCCACCTCTTAAAAACCCTTAAGAGGTGGAGTAGTTAATGGTGGTCTTAGACCATCCACAATGCAGGGATGATAGGAATCCTTAGCCCGCAAACCTAGGGAAATCGGGCCAAAAAAACAATAAAAAAAGCCCAACCCGTAAGGATTAATCCTTAATTAAGTAACTTAAGGATCAAGTCCTTGTATACGTGGCCCAATTCTATTGGCTTGGCCGGAGGTTGTCTCCGTGTTTGGTCGCGAAAAATTTTCATTTCGCGAGGGATAAGAAAAAAAAATCTCGAGAGAGCTCTGGGGAGACGAAAGGCGATTTTCGAATCCTCGATCTCGAAGGTCGATTGATGCCTTTCTGTTAATTTTTTTTGCTTCTGGTGTTGATGCATGTTGTTTCGATGACTCATTAGGGTTCGAGAGAGTTGTGTGAATTGATTTTTTGTTTGAAATCGATTTAGGGATTTTCTCGAGTTAGGGTTTTCCTCTGGATTTGCTTCCTACGTCTTTTCGATAGGTTGTTTAGTTGATTTCGTCGTGATTACGGGTTGTTCATAGTTGTTTAGATAGATTTATGGTTTCAAATCGATTTGGGGATTTTCTAAAATTAGGGTTTTCTTCTAGATTTGGTTCCTTCTTCTTCTCGATAGGCTCATAAGTGTTCTTCGTCGTGATTACGGGTTCGATAGAGGGGATTAGGTAGATTTATGGTTTAGGTCTGAGTTTGGTTCATTGTTCTTGTGTTTCCTATTGGATTCCTTCTTCTTTTGTTTTTGTCTGTACTTGGGTTTAGAACTTAATCTCCTTCTTTATTTGTTGCAGGTGTGTAAATGGATCCAGAAGCCCGAGATGAGAAAGCACGCAAAGAGTATTACAGGAAGCTTGACTTCTTTTCAAATGCGCAACAGGGGATTCCCAAGCTGTGCCCCTGTGGATCAATCACGAAGCTTATCGTAGACGAGGACGATACCTATGACTACCTACCGGGGAAGAGATACTTTATCTGTAAAGATTTCGAGGTATGAACGTCTATGTCTGTTAATGTCTGCGTTTTTAAAAAAAATGTGTTGACAAATATGTTTTTGTTCTGGCAGAATGATGGGATGCATTTCAGACAACCATGGGTTATGGGAATGCAAGAAGAAGTTGAGAGGCTCAAAGAACGATTTGATGAGCAGGAGAAGGTCCTCAAAGAGTGCCAGGCACTTAAGATGAGAGTCTCAAACTCAAATTATTCTTTCACAATCGGTTTAGTATTGATTTTTCTGTGTTTTCTTTTCAGGACCAGGTCAGGATGCTGCTGCGGCGTGTGGTTGAGCTCGAGAGAGCCAGCTTAGGTTAGTGTATACACTTAACCTTCCTTCTCTTCTTCGTTTGAATTTTTTTTAAACTACTTGAACATACTTGAATAATATACTTCGGAAATAACTTAAAGCTACTTGAAAATTTTTAAAAACTTTAGTTCGAATAGTAGGTAAACCAACTTTAAATTAAATGCACAATAACTTAAATTGTACTTGAAGTTTTTAAAGAACTTGAAGTTTTTTAAACCTTTAGTTAAAACAACTACTTCCTATCCGTAACGATTTGACAACTTCCTACTAGGATTAAATAGAGTTTAATGTTGGAACCTCTACTTAATCTCCTCTGTTCTACTAGAGAACAATAGATTCCAAACCCAAAATGACAGACCCCAATAGCTTTGTTAACCTTTTAAACAGTCAAGGGTGTGTTGATCTTGAGGGCTCGGAACCTCTGCTCTTTAGCAGTCAAGCTTCTGATGACTCTCATGTCAAAGAGAGGAGAAAATGGACAGAAAAGGAGGATGTCATCCTCATCGGGGCTTGGCTTAACACAAGCAAAGACCCGATAGTTGGTAATCAACAAAAAGCCGTTGCGTTCTGGAAGAGGATTGTAGAGTATTACAACTCCAATCCTCAACTGGTTGGGACAGCACCTAGGGAACTAGGCCAATGCAAGCAACGATGGGCTAGGATCAACGACATGGTCTGCAAGTTTGCCGGTTGCTACGAATTGGCAGCGAGGGAGAACTCAAGCGGGCGCAATGACAACGACCTGACGAGTGCGGCATTGGTTATCTTCGACAATGACCAGAAGTGCAAGTTCAACTTGGAGCATTGTTGGAGAGAGCTTCGTTACGATGTGAAATGTCTCCACCTATATGGACAAGGACAGTGGCAAGGAGAAGCGCAAGACAGCAGAGGCTAGTGATGGAGTGCCGGAGCCTGAAGAGAGGCCAATAGGGGTTAAGGCTGCTAAGGCGGCTGTGAAGAAGAAGAAATCTGGAAAAGATGAGGAGTTGTCTAAGTTGGAAGTGTTATTGGCGATGAAAAAGGAAATCTCTAAGCAGAATTTGCTAGAGAGTTTGCTTGCAAAACTCGAACCACTAACTGAGATGGAACTAGCGCTCAAAGACAAACTCATGGCTGAAATGTTGTGATATTGATTGCTTGCTTTTTCAAATGTGTGTATGTCACGGGTTGTTGTTAGTTTGTTTGTTTGTGATGATTGATTGCTTACTAACTTGACTTGTTCTGTCTTTTTCAGGTTAGGTACAAGGGAGCATTCACGGGTTGTTGCTGTTTTCTGTGTCCTGAAGCTCTTTGTTTTTATGTCCTTTGTTTTCCTGTTTGTCCACGGGTTGTTGTTTTCACATGTACCATCACGGGTTTCTGTTTTTCTTTGTAGTTCACGGGTAGTTTGTATTGCCTTTATAAGGCACTTTGTTGTTGTGGTTGATGAGCCATTCACTTCGCTCATGATGTATTCAGAATCAAAAAAACTTAAGTTGTGATATTTCCTACTGCAAGTTGTTTTCTACTCTTATCTTTCTCTCATTTTAATACCAAGTGCAACTTCTTTTCCACTCTCATTCTACTCAACCAAGTGATACTCGTTTTCTACTGTCAAGCCGAGTTTGTCTTCTACTCTCATCTCCAAAATACATTATCCAATTGTTAACATCATCCCCAACCAAGTGATACTCGTTTGTTAATATAGTTTGTTATTAATTTAAATTGTTAATTTAAATTGTTAGTTTAAATTGTTAATGTAGAATTGTTAACTTAAAATTGTTAATGTAGAATTGTTAATTTAGAATTGTTAATTTGGAATAGTTCTTTTAAATTGTTAATTTAGATTTGTTAATTTAGAATTATTAATATAGATTTGTTAATTTAGAATTATTAATATAGAATTTTTAATTTAAAATTATTAATATAGAATTGTTAATTTTCAATTATTAACATAAATTTGTTAATTATTTTGAAGGTCTCGATGGCAGATGACCTCGATAGAAGAATCGATCAGGCTGTCGACGAATGTTTTGAAGATACATTCAACAACATCATGGAGAATCAAACAAGAACACACAAAAAAAAATGTGCTTATTATGAACGAGAACGTGAGGAGGGTCACCGACGTCTATGGAATGACTACTTCAGTGAAAATGCGATATTTCCGCCAAATATTTTTAGGCGTCGTTTCCGCATGAACAAGGAGGTATTCATGCGCATTGTCAATGAGCTCTCAGAAAATATACCATTCTTTCAACAAAGACGAGATGCAGTCGGAAGGTTCGGTCTATCTGCATTACAGAAGTGTACAGCAGTTATTCGTATGCTGGCTTATGGCTGTGCGGCTGACGCCATTGACGAATATCTCCGACTTGGTGAAAGCACGGCCCTTTCGTGTTTGACCCATTTCAAAAAAGCCGTAATACAGTTATTTAGAGATGAGTATCTACGAAGACCAACTCCTGATGATCTTCAACGATTGCTCGATATTGGTGAGATACGCGGCTTTCCTGGGATGATAGGAAGCATCGACTGTATGCATTGGGAGTGGAAAAATTTCCCAACCTCTTGGAAAGGACAGTACACACGTGGATCAGGAAAGCCGACAATGGTCTTGGCGGCTGTGGCGTCACAGGATCTTTGGATATGGCACTCTTTTTTTGGTTCTCCCGGGACCTTAAATGATATTAACGTCCTCGATCGGTCACCTGTTTTCGATGACATTATACAAGGTAGAGCTCCATTGGTAAAGTTCGTGGTCAATGGTCACCAGTATGATTTGCCATACTACCTAACCGACGGTATATATCCGAAATGGTCGACATTTATTCAATTTATTTCACTCCCTCAAGGTGGTAAGGCAGAATTATTTGCTAAAGTTCAAGAATCAACCCGAAAAGATGTGGAGCGTGCTTTTGGAGTATTACAAGCTCGGTTTGCGATTGTGAGAAATCCGGCTATTTTGTGGGACCAGAAAAAAATAGGGATGGTGATGCGAACGTGTATCATACTTCACAATATGATAGTGGAAAATGAACGTAATGGATACACTCAGTATGATACATCTAACTTTGAAGAAGGAAACTCGTCGCGAAGTTCACAGGTGGATATGTCCTATTCTACCAACATGCCTTCACATTTCGGTAATATGCTAGGCTTACGGAGTCATATTCGAGATAAGCGTATATACGAACAACTGAAAAATGATTTAGTTGAAAATATTTGGAACAAGTTTGGTAATGACGAAGATGTATGATTATTATGATTATTGTATGTTTACTTTTTATAATTTAATAAATAAAATTTTCTCTTTATTCTAAATTTAAATATTTTATTTTTAAAAATTTTATTAATTAAAAAATGTTAAGGACTCCATTATCGATAACACCATTGGACACATAATATTTACTAGAATCCTTAACTATTCAACAAAAAAAAAACATTATATTAATACTAAGGATTCCACAATGGGGTACACCATTGTGGATGGTCTTATAATTCATGATTTGACATTTTTTTTACATTTTTGACTAAAAGCTGGTTCTTATATATTTTATTTAAGAATTAATTCTTATTTTTTAATAAATGTATCTTAACCGAAGCTAAGAACTTTATTTAAGAATTCCACAATAAAAATGGTCTTATATCTCTTATTTAAAAAAACAGTTTTTAGCTTTTCTTAATTAAAATCAAAGAAAAACTAAGAATCATCTCTTAGCTGAATTTAAGAACCCCATACGGTTAATGATGTTCTTATGTGTGTTTGCAAAAACCCTATGTTAGTCAAACTATTTAACAAATACTAGTAAAGACTTTAGGGTGTGGAACTGAAACGGAGAATAAACTTATTGAATCTAAATATTACATATATAAATATATCATAATTTATAAAATTCAATCATTTTAATCTAGAAATCAAATTGAATTCATGGATAAAAATATGTGAAAACAATAAACCAATTTTATGTCCACTACGTCGTGTATAATGTACAATCCAATAGACGCTCATATCCTCCTATATATTAAATGAGAAGTCAATTTAATGATTTATGCTGACGTGTCATTCATAGGAAGATTTTCCAATTAAACGTTATAATTTGATTAGTTGATAGTTTTTTACTGTTTTAACTATTTAATTAAATTTTTTAAAAGGAATCTATAACTACATTACCTAATCTAATCTATATTTCCAAAAAACAATTAAACATCTTAAATACAGATGAATTAACATAATTTTTTATAGAAATAATTTAAATATTATAGATTATCCCCCTATATATTAAAAGAGAAGTCACTTTAGTGATTTCTCGACACGTGACACTCATAGAGGGCTTCTAGAATTAATTCTCTTAATCTTATTGGTTGATTTTTATTAATTTATTTTCTATTTTTTAATTCAGCGCGAAGAGTAATTTGATAACAAAACTATCGACGTTTCCAAACACTCCAAATTTGTTAATTCCTTTTAATGACTTACCTTATTTTAATAATACATACGTTGCACAAGTTGTAACTTTTTTTAATCTATTTCAATTAATTTTTAAATCTATCAAATATAATAATTCATATTAAATGTCTTACCTTATTTAAAAACTACATTACTTGCACAATAATGAAATTAAGCCAAGAATATTAATTGGTCGATCACTAATAATTTACTAACCTTACTAATAATTATTACATGTATTAATATTTTCCTTATTAGATATTACTTGCGTAAGAATATAAATTAATAAAACATGTATTAATAAATTTCCTTATTACAAATGCGGAAAACAATTCACTCTTGATATCATATTGATTACATTGTTTAGTGCGATTTATCGATTTGTATCTAATTAGGTTGTTTGTTATTATTAACTTACCTTATTAATATTGAATATACAATTTCTAATATATAGTTTCTATATACAGTTTCTCATATGATTAATCGTATAGAATATATAATATTCTCAATAATTTATTAGAGAATATTCTATTTATTAGCTTATCATGCAAGCTAAATCATTGAGAAACNTCTAATATATAGTTTCTATATACAGTTTCTCATATGATTAATCGTATAGAATATATAATATTCTCAATAATTTATTAGAGAATATTCTATTTATTAGCTTATCATGCAAGCTAAATCATTGAGAAACATCCATCAATTTACTATATATAAGACATTCACAGTATGAGAAACGAAGCCACTGAACTTTTTATTCTGAACTCTTTATGTTGATAATGTTTTTGTTATTTTACATCATTAAGCTTTTACATATACATATTTCATCAGAGCTGAATTTTCTTTTGGTTTATATACAGATGCCATATTATAACGATTTCACCACGATGCATGAAATTTTTTTTATCTTTCTATATTATTTGATTAATCGTAGATCTATTTGAATTCTAATTCTTACTTTCTTAAATATGTTCATAGGTATTATATTTCTATTTAATGATTGTTCGTTAGAGCTTAGAAGGAGAAGAATGCTTTCATATGAATTTTTCTATTGGTTTTTTAATTTTTGCATATTAGTTTATATGCGCAGACCAACGATTATGACGTTTCCTCCTGTGGATCCATATGTACTTAAATCTCTCTTCACATTCATGTTATTCAGAGACATGAACATTACAAATGATCATATCATCTAAAACACGTAAACTACAATGTAAGTTTCATGCTTTGTTACTTTCTCTATGTTTTTCAAATAATTATTTGCTTATACACTAAAGAAAAAAAATCTTTAATCAATATTTTATTCTAAATTTTAGTATTACTTTTTATACATTTTATCAACTCTGTACTCAAATATGATTTTATACAATTTATCATATTATAAAATGTATATCATATAAATTCATATATGTAAACTATATATTTCTTTTTTGTCATCTTTTTTTTGTCATCATAAACTATATAGTTCTATGTCAATTATAATATAACTTTATACAATTTATCACATAATAAATTATGTATATAATTCAGAGTTAGAATATGATATGTGTAACATTTTTGTATATATTTCTAATACTAATGTTAGAATTAAATCGGTTAAATACAAATTTCTATATTAAATATAAGTGATAAAACATAATTATTATATATTTCTATAGATTTAAAATATATCAAAATCAAAACTATTTATTATTCTTTAATTTTATAACCATATTATGGTATTAGGAAAGATATACCTTGTTGGTAAAGGCTTTTAATTAGTTTATTTGTTTATTAATAACTTGTCTTATTTTATGAGTTATTCTTGGGTTCACCCCCTAGGGTGAACCTCTAGGTTCACCATCCAATAGGATTGCATTATTTCATATTTGATATCTTTTAGAAAAGGAAACAAAATCTTGTTAAGTTATATTATGTTTTTAAAAATAAAAATACAAAAATAAATATTTATTAATAATATTTAATAAAAAAGAAAATAGTTATTTAAAAAATATATTTTAACACTAAACCCTAAACTCTAATCCTAAACCCTAAACCCATGGGTAAAAATCATAAACCTTTGGATAACTTTTATAAAAAAAATTTATAAAAATGTTATTTTAACACTAAACCCTAAAATCTAATCCTAAACCCTAAACCCTTGGTTAAATTATAAATACTAAACCCTAAACTCTGATACTAAACTCTAAACCCTTGGATTAATCATAAACACTAAACCCTAAACTCTAATCCTAAACCCTAAACCCTTGGGTAAATCATTAACACTAAATTTTTAAAACACTATAAGATTTATCCAAATGTTATTATTTACCCAGGGGTTTAGGGTTTAGGATTAGATATTAGGGTTAGTGTTAAAATATTTTATTTAGAAAATTATTTTCGTTTTTATTAATTATTATTATTTTTTCTATTTTTGTATTTGATTTTTATTCCAATAATATAACTTAATAAGATTTTTTTTCCTTTTTAAATATATATCAAATATGAAATAATGAAATCCTATTGGATGGTGAACCTAGAGGTTCACCCTAGGGGGTGAACCCAAGAATAAGTCTTATTTTATTTTCAATTACTTGCGCAAGTTGATACGATGATTACCTTATTTTTCCATCAGTTACTTGTCTTAAATGATATGTTAATTATTGCAAATTTATGACAGTCAATTTTTAATATCTTTCTTTAGTTGCTTCATGTTTATTAAAAGGAAACAAATATTACAAGAACCATAAGACTTTATATATCTCAAGAAATGTCTTTACAAGAATTTTTATAACAAATATTTCAGGAACCATAAGACTTAATGATAAAATATGATTATTAATTCATAATTATTCTTCAAATTTGATATATTCTGAATTTTTTATTATATATAATTCTAAACAAAATAATATTTTTAGGAAGTATTTTTTTAAATATACATTTAATTGACAAATTTAAAAGTTAAATTTTTGTGAAAATATATGTCTATTAAGTAAATTTCTTGTTCTATTATGATGTCATTTATTAGTAACTATTTACATGTGATATTGCATTAAATGTGTATGTTCTTTATTTCCTAATTACTTAATTCGGAAATATGATGATTACCTTATTTTGCTATCAATTACTTGCACAAATTTATTAAATTTAGAAATCTATTAAATTATTTTATATTGTACAATTGCTTAAAAATTGACAATTTTTTGCAGGTTTCTATGAGATTTTTTTAATTCATAATTGTTCATCTTATTTTATATTACTTATGAATTATATTTAAACTTTTATCACATTTTCTATGGGATTGTGATATCTATGAGATTTTTATCACATTTTTTAATATGTCACTGTCTCCTGTATATCTTACTTACATTTGTTTTTTTTAATAGTTAACTTTTATTAAAAATATACTAATGATGTTAATTTTTTTTTTACTTTAGTTAACTTTCATTTGTTTTATTCTTATATACTTTTTGTGACTTTTTTAGTTTTTGTTTCAGTTTAATATTGAATTTAGTTCACATACTCTATGTGTATATATTTTAAAATATAATTTTTCTTTTAAAAAATTAAGCGACAAAGAGCCTAATTAAACCGATCCAAAAACAAACCGAACTGAATATAAATTGAACTGGACATAAACCATACCGAACCAGACTAAATAAGGTTTATTTCAGTTGAAAAAAATATATTAAAACCGAACTAAACAAACCAAACCGAAAAGTAACGATTTGACCACCCCTACTGCATCCTAGAGATTTGTGCAAATCTTGTCTCAGCATTGAAACTCTCACTTGTTCCACTAACTCCCACATTTGAACTCAACAGATACTCCTTTCTCAGCATTATACTATATTTTTATACCCGCACAGAGTGCGGGTGGGTCACCTAGTATCTATTGATTACCATGCATCAAACTCAAAACCTCTATATCTGAACTAATTAATATTACAATAAATATGAGAAAAGTAAGTATCAACAACTGAATAGCTCGGGATTTGCATGGATAAGTGTAGTTAATACAGCTTCTAACTAATCATACCAATTGGAAATAGGGGTTTTTATTTTTTTGAGAAACAATTGGAATTAGGGGTTTCTAGTAAAGGTATCTATTATAGGTGCGTTTTAGCAATAACTAATCAAAGTTAATCCAGTATTTATTGAAAAGACAAGTAAATTAATTTTCTGGTGGACAGGGGTTGAGTGAAGTATGAAAAAGAATGAAAAGCTGGTCCACATAGCACAAACAAAGACCTGCACTTTTATTTATCTCCACATGTCTTGTGTTCAGATTCTTTGTTTCCCACAGGTCTATTGCACTTTATGATGATCTTCCTATGTGCCAAATATATTGAAATCAATGAATAGATTTGCCATTGACAAACTTTCAAGAGATTGATAAATATTTCGCGTGACATCTTTAATATTTTTGTAATTTGTTGAACAGTCCCATATATGACTTGGCACAATCAGATCCAAGCTTTCTGATTAATTTAATCGGGCCAGCTGATATATTAAGTGTTACAATGAACCCAAGCGTTGAACCCAAGCAAAATGAAACTAGATTTGATACATACAACTGTATTCCCACACAGTGTTACACAAGTTACAACCATCACACAATGGTATAAAGGCCAAGCACAAATGCATTTTTCTCTCACGTGCTCTAATTTGCAAAACCGATGAAGCTTGGAAAATAAGGGAACACACAACAACAATGGTGGGCGTGGAATAACTTCTTCGTCACAGGATCAGATTAGCTGTCCGGCCGATCAAGAACAAGTGGGCCTTAAGTATGAAATGATCCAAAGATCAATTACAATCAGTCAGGCTAGATATAGAAGAAACATCAGAAGATTAAAAATGACTAGAGATTTTCAGTATCTATTCCAAATATCAAAGCTACTAATCATAAGGCATATACTAATTCAGGAAACTTACCTGAAATAAATATTAACAATGTCTCTAATCCTTTCTAATTATGTTACATTCAGGTTATGTAGTCTACTTGAGAACACACATATAAATGACATAGATGGGTATTATTACCAGTCAAGTGAACGAGTCTTTTGTTTGCTATTTAGACAACTTGGTCTTAGATGTTTTGTTAGACTCAATGAGCCTCCACATGTACCAAGAACCAACAGACCTATAAGGCCTCCACTTCTCACAAAGCTGCTCCATCTGCAACGGACCAGGAAGTTCTTTCAACCCATAAAGATCCTTCACACCTTTCCTCACACCGAGATCACCCACAGGCAACACATCAGGCCTATGAAGCGAGAATATCATAAACATATGAACCGTCCACACTCCAATCCCCTTAACCGAAGTTAACCGGTCAATCAACTCTTCATCGCTCATCTCCAGAATCATATCATCGGAAAGCACTCCGCTCTTGTATTTTCCGGCTAAGTCGTGGAGGTAGCTCGCTTTCCTCCCCGAGACACCGATCTTCCGGAGATCAACGGCGGAGAAGGAGAGGAGGGAGTCAGGGAGGACGGCGGATTCTCCGCCGGGGAAGAGAGAGACGAAGCGGTCGTAGATGCATTTCGCTGCTTTGGTTGCGAGCTGTTGGTAGAGGATTGATCTTGTCAGGGAGAGGAACGGAGTGGTGGTTGATTCGAACACGGGAGGAGTGTTGTGTCCGGAGATTACTGCTCCGAGGAGTTCGTCGGAGATTTGTAGGTGGCGGAGAGAGATGTCTACCGTTGATTTGGAAGATAGAGGAGACGTGGTTATCGTCAGATCATCTGACGAGACTTTACGGATCTTACGGGGACGAAAGGTGATTTTTGAGGGACGAGAGGGCTCTGTGACTTCGAGATTGACGGCGGAGATTGAGGAATCCGGCGGCGAAGAAGGTCGGTTTAATGCGGTTAGGGTTTTACGGAGAGACATGGCGACGACAGGATTGGTTAGTTGTCCGGTGATGATGGTCAAACTCATCGGTAGTTAAATGTCGGAGATAAATCTCTTGCCTTAAGCTCAATCAAATTTATTGTTGGGCCTCTTGTTAGGCCTCATGAAATATCAATTGGCAAGTAAATAGCCCAATACAAATCTTGTTGGTTCATTTTATCCAGATTTTTTTGAAATTTATGATCGCACACATGTGGTAAAAGGTACTTAAGGTGAAGCCTAACTAATATATCATAGATTCGGTTGATAAAAAAAACTAATCATAGATTCATAGAGAGACAACATTAATTACTACTACAACTTTGGCTTTTGTAATTTGGCCTACGACAATGGTTATATCTTCATCTCTCTTTTTTTTTCTTTTTTTTTCACTTTGGTGAGACGCCGATTCTCCGAAGAGCATTTTCATTTAGTTGGATCTGATCTATATGAAAAAATGTATAACCTCTGGTTCTTGTTTATTTTGTTAATACTTCTACTTGACCATTTTTACTCCGAAAAATATGAGATAAATTCACAATTTGATCTTTGTCACGAAAGTCGACCAATCTACCAGATTCATAATCATGTTTACTAGATCCGAGCAGCCCGTTTCAAAGCGTCCAAAGAATATCTTCATCTTCTTAAACAATAGCAACTTAGTTGTTGATAGGAATCCAATCCATCGATACAAAACTACGCCTTGTTTTGACCTTAGTCTTTACTACTATCACAACATGGTTAAGATATCATTTTGTTGAATATTCGTGACGACAACTGGATACAAAATATCAACATAATTATAATAATAGTGGGATTTTTGTGTGATCGTGCACAGTTGGTTAAAAAGCTGGTAGATTAGTACAAACAATGCTGCAGAATCGGTTCAGTAAAATCGGAAAACTAATAATAAAAAGAAAGAAAAATGAAAATATTCTGTTGAGCGCATATTGACACGAACAAAAGGTCAAGATGAGGTAAATAGAAAAATGACAAAACGATGGTCAAAACAGAGCATAATACGACAAAAATAAGTTCATTAAATCACTACAATGCTCTGATCCAAACTGAACACACAACAGTACCACCACAGACATGAGTAAACCCACATTGGTACGATCAGAATCTAATCTCCTTATTCGACGATCAGATTTCAATCTCCAATTTTTTTATTTTTTTCATTTTTCACCAATTAAAACACACACAATAATTAATTAAAGTCTCAGTTGTGAGATTCAGAGACTCAGCTGGAACTGAAACTTCTCCTCTCAACCACACAACTATATACATTAAAAGAGTTATATCCTATGTCTATATTTTTGGCCTGTATTATTTTTTCTGACTTACAAACATTTTTTTCTTACTAAGAGTTATAATTACATCACTCCATGCATTTTTTGGGTGATATTCACATTCACCATATTGTTCGTTTCAAAGACTAGAAGCAGAGAAATAATTTCCATACGGAAGAGGTTTAAAATTCTGAAAATATAAATAGAAAATGAAAATTTAAAACTGATGAGCTCTACTTTCATAGATAAACCACAAGTTAGACCGTCGCTTTCAATGCCATTAACATCATGACTTCTACTATCTTTTTTTCCAAACATTTTCTTCTTTTTTAAATTAGACATAATATAATAAAACCACATGGAGAAATATTTAAAATCTAAACGTCAATTTCTCTTTCCTTTTTTATCTGGTGAAGTCATGGACAAGACTTGCCCTATCCGCCACATTGAGCCTCCACGAAAGAAACGGTACGCCGCCGTGACCACCGTCAGAATCACAGTTGTTAGCTCCAGAACTGCCGTAATCATCCATGAACCTTATCTCGTTTGCCGGATAATTGCATGGGACCCTCTGCGCCGTGTGGTGAGCCCACGAATTACCATTGTTGTAATTATTGTAGCCGGCGTTCTGATGGCCGTACTGATCAACTGCTACCGGTGTACCTCCTCCTCCGGCGTTCACTGAAGCCGCCGTAGTTCTTCTCTCTTCCTTCTTGAAACGAATGCCGCATGCGTTGCATAGGGACTGTCAAATCCAAAACCATCCATATCATTTAACCATCAATATCACAATTTAATGTCGTTTTCAATAAATAAAGCTATAAAGAATCAAAATCGAAAAAAAGGAGAGATGAATTGTTCGAAAATCTTAGTTTTTGGTTGGTTATTTATATGAGAGGCGGCATTTGAAATTTTCAAAAACATATTCAATGAAAATAAATCATCTCATTTAACCATGACAATCACTTCTTTTTTTGTAACTTAAGCTTTCAATGAATATCACTTTTCAATGACAAATATTCAATAAGTAGTGTTGTATTGCCAGTAAGAATCCGTTAGAAAGAAGGAAAAAAGGATAAAGAATTTTTTAAAAGGATGAAATGTCTTCTTTTGCAATCATTGCTTTATTTGTTGATTATCCACAAGAAATAACATTTTGAAATGAATTGATAGGTTACCTTAGGGCCTCTAGGACCATTTCTCCATAGTGGAGTAGAAGTGGTATCACAGTTGGCACATCGCCTGGCAAGAAGAGACTCGCCACCGCCACTACCACCAGAGCAACCGCGTGTTGGTTTGATGGGATTAGCAGTGGAGAAAGAAGGGACGTTACTAGACGGCGCCATTTTAGAGTTGTTGTTGTTTTTGGTTTGAAGCAAGTCCCAGAAGTTGGAGATGCAAGAAGGCGCACCAGAGGGTGTAGAGCGTCTGCGTTTCTCATCCTCCTCGCAAAGACGCGTGGAAGGAGTTCCAAGAGAGAGAGTGCAGTCAACGATGGAGGAGGAGTGATAATCCTCACCGTTAGGCTCGTAAACGCCGCCGTTTTGCATGGAAAACACCGTTGAGTGAGAGCCAGCGTTGAAGTTGTTGTTGTAGCAGCAGGTTTGGTTGTGGTGGTGGAACATTCCGCAGGAATGACAATACTGCCCCTGCATCGAAGTATTGTAGGGAGTCTGCATCATCTCTCTCTTTCTCTCTAACTTTGAAAACCCTAATAAGTGTAAATTAAGAGACTATGAAGAGATAGAATGGAGTAGCAGGTTTTGACGTTGGAGTGAAGTGAAGAATGGAGAAGAGGGTCTCACATCTATATATAGAAGCAGAAGTGTATATGCAGGTTTTTAGTAAAACGAATATTTAAAATCAATAGAATATGTGGGGACGTAGCTTTTTACGAAGTACATATTAATTTATAGTATCATTTAATCCGATGGGGTTCACTTGCTTTTAATGGGTTTTTTATTACAATGATACCACCAGTACTATCAAGTTTTCTACAGCAAAGATTTTAAAATATTCTAATCACTGTCTATATATTTTCTATATATAAAACATGCTTAGGATATTTTACTGTCTTGATAACTAAAACTGACTTACTATTAGTTGATTAGCTCATGTTTTGCTATATTCAGCATAAAAAACAATGACATTAATTCCTTAAGGAGGTAATTAGCCTTTACAAAAAAAGATTGACAAGCTAATTAAGGTACAGAGATGACATGACGACACACATTATGCAAATATCAATAGAAAACAAAACAAACGTATTTAGTGTGTTATAGTAGTATATACGGTTTAATGCTTTACCCTGAAAATAACGAATTTAGTGACGTTAATACTAAGCTCTTTCACAAGTTACGAGAATGAAGATTTATAGTATTCCATTTTCTGGGTTATGATCAAAATTATAGTGGGAAAGTATATGAATTTGTAAGAATACTAAGAAATAAAAATCGAAACTACAAAGAGAAACATTCCAATCTAGGGCAAAGGTAATGATCTGTTTGATGGATGCTAAATAACTTCGGGTGTAGATGGTCAACCAAAGATGAACACATTATATGAACATTGGTTAAGATTAGATAGGGTAGATCTTAATGTTAATAAATGAGATGGTGGGATTGGATGAAAACTTGCAAGTTTTGGACCATCATACTAACAAACTCTTGCTAATTGGTTATTACTTTCTAAAGTAATGATTATGTCACTCACACACGAATGTTTACTATATCTATATAATTGTACGAACGACTTGAAATTATCGGTTCTTGTGGAGTAAAACCAAACCATGCAAAACACTCGAAGATGAAGAAGAAGGAGAGAGTGATGTGATGTTGATGGTCAAAATTTAGCCCACGTGACAAGGGGGGAGAGAAGAGATGAAAAGAGTACAGTCATCACTGCAAAAAATCTCCGATCACGAGGATCAAATTTTGATTTTTTTTTTTGTTCTCTTCCAATATGTATAATGCTATAAATCTCTGACTCTTTCCGTATCTCTACCCTTAAAACCCTAAATTTCACGCGCACCTGCCCACTCGCGCGTGGCATTTTACTTCCACATCGCAATCGCACGTTCGATATCTGCTCAGCCTCATGTGGTTAATGATGATCCATGATGATGTAAGTAAAGTGACTGAGATTTGGTTATTAGATTTTCTTCAAAACTTGTAGCTATAGCTAGAGTCTACTCTACTCTCTTGTCGTCAACGAATACTAGTCTTCGTCCTTTATTTAATGGATTTGTATGTTTATGATTTTTTTCAACATGTGTATGTTTGTGATTTGATTAATTAAAACACTCGATATATCTTCTAAACATGGACTATCAATTGTTACATTTGCAGATAGATTGTAGGAGAAGAGCTTCAGTTACATATGCAGCAGTGGTGATGGAATGATGGATCTATCATTTTTACCTAGGCATATGATAACCTATTTCTATATGTACGTTTCTCAAAGATAAATATGACAATCGTTGTATCACCTTATACTTTAATTAATAAAATTTGTCCCACATATTTATATATATATAACCCATGCAGTTTGCAAATAACAATAATCCATGCAATTATATATTTTTAACGTTTTCGTATGTTATTTTTAGTCTTGATATTTGACAATTAAAGGTTTTACCTGATAAAAGGTAATCAAACAAAATGAAATAAATTCTTGCAAATTTCTTAATATTAAGACAAAAACTAAAAAATTGAAGAGATTAACAATCTTAAAATCTGTTATTTGTTAGTATTATGGGGGCTTTTATTTGACCACTGGAGGATGGAATACAGAAAAGTACCTCAGCAAACTATGTGAAAGGAAACCATGTGAATGTTAAATAATCATATATATATATATATATATATATATATATAACTTGGTGGATTGGTTATCTAACAGGGATTATCACAACTAATATTAGCTATATATATATTGAATCACTATATAATATTTTGATTTTGATAAACTAAATGGCCATAACCGACACCATTTTGGAAGATGCAACCATATTGGAAGGTGCAATGTTAAGCTTGCACACTAAGAGGATTTTCAAGCTTTATCCCAGTTTTTACTATAAGGATTTTAAGAATAGAATATTTTTAAATTTTAATATAATTTTTATTTTACAATATAATAAAAAATTACATTAATCTAAATAACTAACTATATTTATTATTTCATTTTAATTCCTTACTCCATTTTATAATGTACAATAAAATAATTTTATAATAAAAACAACTCTAATGTAGAATTACTTTACTTTGAATTAAAGTGGAAGAATATTAGAACATCGAAGTTGTTAAAGAAACAAACGAGACGCATGTAAAGATGCTATAAGAGATTATAGCATAGAATTAAGAAAGAAAAAAGTACTGTATAAAACATTCTAGCTCAGCAATCTTAGTGAAATATAACATCAGTCGAAAAACATTCAATGGTCTCATTAGAAGTTAGAACAATAATCATGGTCATTATATGGCTGGATAACGCATGGAAACCCTATGAGAATCCAATTCCTTGTGGGGTTTCTAGTAAATATTAAAGAGAATACGAGTTAGAATCATAATGATATGAGAATATCCAGGAAGATTTGGATGAATTTTTAGAGTAACAAGAAAAATATTGCATGAAAAGAAAAGCTAGATTAGATTGTGAATAACCCAAAAGATAAAGGGAAGAATCCCCTCTATTCGAGTGAAGTGCCTTCCTACAATCATCAAAGCAACAGCCCAATGAGCCTATCCATACAAGTGTATGAACTATATTATTATCTCCTTTTCTTTATTTTTCCTGATTTTTCATGTTATCTTCTTAGCTTAGCAAGAGAGAGATTCGGCTCTTGAATCTTGATGGGTCAAAGAAGGACTCTCTAAAAAGGAAAGGTCAAAGAACTAATAATACTCCCCATAAATTTGATCTTGAACTATTGAAAAGAAACAAAGAAAAAGCTATTGGACCCACCTCTTAAATCATTATACCTAATAGTAATACCACATGATAACTTCTTTTCCTCTGTAGCCAAATTATAGTGATATGGTACGGAGTAATGCTTGTATATGTCTCGATGATCAATTAAGGTATTCGCTGACAAAAAAAATTAAGGTATTCTTAACTTTTTACTCTAAACATTACAGTTGTTTTCTTTTACCAAGAAAACATTACTATTTTGATCTCATAGATTTGAAAGAACAATACACTGATGTGTATAGTATTGTAACAAATTCAAAAACTGGACATGTGAAAAATATTCGTTTCAAGGGGTACTATGTAGATTATATACAGCTTGAAATGGTGAAAACCTTATAGCTAAACAAATGACACATACTAATACTCAAATTCTGAACAATTGAGGAGTTTGTGCTTCGAGTTCTCCCCTTACAATTTCAAATACGATGAGCGTAATTTATGGATGGATAGTTCAAATGGAAATATACCAGACCAGGTGCTCCATATATCCCCTAGATTAGTTTGAATTTGGATACGCAGTACCTAAAAAAAGCTTAAGAACTGTGATCAAAACACGAACTTATTTATTACAAAGCTATCTTGTTGTTTTGCAGTTACTTATCAAATTCGAACATTTATAAAGAAAAACATTTGAAAACAATAATCTTAAAATCAAAAGGTAAAAATCAGATCGTCTTGAGATTGCCGAAACTTAGTTCGACTACGACCACCACTTTCCAAAAGATGCTCTGTCGAATGTTTATATTTATACAATTTAAAACTCTAATTATTGTACGTAAATCTATATTTATAGTGATTTTGTTAAACTCGAAACGTAAAACCGTGATAACCCCGAGACACAAAGCGTTACGTTTCGCCACTACATGCAAAGCTACATAAATCTCACACGACCCAACAAGCCGTGACCAATACGCTCCCATCCTACCACCAGTTTTTGAACTCACGGGCTTACAGGCGCCTTGTTATGTAGTGAATGAATAAACCAAGCATTTCGCTAATGCCCATAAATAAAGTACATATAATTTAATTTAAGGCACGAGGTCGGCTTTCCGTAATTATAATCGGGGACTTGCTCGATATGGGATATAATTTACTAATTATTTACATTCTTATTTTTCCAATATTCATTTTAGAGCAATACATTATACAATTTTTAAATTTAAATATTTATAAGAACATTTTTTTCTTATTAGTGTTAATTAACAACTGAAAAATTTAAATAGATTGAAAGGAAACTAAAAACGAACTAAGATAACTTGTGAAACTCTAATCCGCAATAAAAAGAAGCTAAAACTACAATGTTTTTTTTGTGCAACTTAAAATGTCATTTTTAGTATTAGTATACCAAGATGTTTGAACGAAAGAAGCTACCTTATAGATCTAACTCGAAATTACATTTCAGTGAGTACCTAATTAAGAAATTTGTTAGCGTGGACAAAGAGTTTTAAATAGTAAAACCAAAACCCTAAACCGCTATACGCAAAACAAATTACAAAGGAAAAGACTGTTCGTGGTCCGGTACGAGAGCAGTAAAACTACACGGTGTTTGATGAAGCAACGCAAATGCAAATGATGATAATGATATTGGCTTCGGCGGGACCCACGACGTTACCAAAAAAGTATCGCCAGTTCCAACAAAACATAAAGAGAGATCGTATTTTTGGTGACGACGAGTGGATTAGTTGAATTAATCTGTTTTGTCGTTAATCAGAGTGCCACGTTGAAACATGTAGCAAGATTTAGTTCTCCGCATGCATGCATGTAAAGTAATCAAATGATAGGTTAGTAAAGAACAAATTTAAGTTAATGCTTAGTTCATATTAATATAGTATGTGTTGGTTTAGGAGTCGTTCCTCAAAAGTTACAAAACACGACTGGAATGTTTCTACTCTCTGCCCTTTTGATGGATTCTTCTTTCTCTTTTATTTTTGTTTGGAAATTCTGTTTGTATGGTGTGTGTTCTTAAAAAATGAAAAATCATTATAGGGGTTGCTAACTGAGAATGCTTTCTGCTTTAAAGTAATGTAAATACTATTGTTTATAGGTAGTTGGTCTACATATTGAGCAATACTATTGTTTCTGGATGATGAAAATTGTAGACTGGATTAATTTTTTTTTTTTGAACACTAGTACTGGATTAATTATATATGACAAAACTAGTACTGTACTTTGTTATATTTCTCTTTTTTTTGTTTACAAAATGATATTTAGCATGTCGCTTCCAAATACCCGATGATTTGTTTCGTTAAACGGTTAACTATATAAAATTATAAATATAACAGTGCCATTCCAGCTGTCCTATGTTTAGACCATATTTTTTTGTCTACGGCTCCTGTAACTTCATGTTGTCCCCTCTAAACGTCTCTTCATATTTCCTAAGAATTTCTGTTTTAAGATTCTTTGGTGTATTTTATACTACAAAATTTAGCTATACTTTTGTATTTGGTCAAGTGGTTTGGTTGACTGGAACATAGGTGTTCCTTTTATTTTAAGTTCAAAATATCACAAATCATCTTAAACATATATAAGGCTTGATAAACTTATTAATATATGTAAAATTATTAGGGGTATTGGAAGGATGATGGATAATTCGGTAACAATTTATTCGTTTATACGTAATGGATGAATCAACCGCATATATCCAATGGGATATAAAAGGGACAGAGGCAAAAGAAAAGTAAGAGAAACAAATGTGGGAATTGTCCAATGTAAGTGAAGATAGCAAAAGGGAAAAAAGGAAAATTGTTGGACCAACAAGATGAATGCCCCAATATTGGGAGAGGTATCAATCATGATACAAAACATAAGATATGTATATATAAATATGATCAAAGGTAGTCACTTTGGTCCATGGTACATCTTTGCAAGCTTGACCAATTCTTCTAGGACACAAACTTATGTTGGATTTGTTGTATCATCTTTACCCAACAAGTTTGTCTTTTATATACTATATTTTTGGTCCTAACATTTCCCAATTAAATAATTCCACTTTGAATCTTCCACTTATTATTCTTTTGTCTTCAACACAACACAATTTTCCTACTTTTTTCTTGTTCTTGTAGCTCAATAGCTTTAGAGCATAAAGAGGGAGACACACTAGAGAAAAAGAGAGACATTCCATCTTAGTTCCGACAATGGTCGAAAAAATAATTTTGAATCTACTTTAGATATCCAAAGGGACATGCCAAAGCAATATGGAAACAACAGCTAACAAAACTTCGAGAATTCGATTCAACAAACTAATTACTACTTAGAAATATATAGTGCAAGCCCAAATATAGTAAAGTTTGTTCATTGACCTAAGCCTAAATTAAAAAAAAATCATCTAAAAGAAACAATTAACAAGAAACTAAAACTTATTAAACACAATTTATGTGCTCTAATCAGCTGCTTATGTGACTTATACCACCTACTCAAACACTATAATTTTATTATTATTCGGTAAACCATTACAAACTTTGGAATTACATAAAACTGTTGTATTTATTTGCCTACTTATTCTTATGTTCCATAATATGTTATTTTGATCAGAAATCAAATATCAAAACTATTTTTGTTCCAAAAATTATTATTTAATATACAAACCAAATATCATTGAGTTATAAAAACTGTTTAAAAGTGGCATATAAATGTAAAAGTAATTTATTGCTGAAACATATTAAACAATTTATATTATAAGACATTAGGAATATAAAATAGTAAAGATAAGATACAAATACATACTAAACAATCTACTCTATTAAAATAGAGTCATTCTTTTTATCTACTGATACAAGTTGTCATTTAAATTTGGACCCTTTCTAGAATGTTACAAATAATATAAGTCATATAATTGATTGAAACGTATTACTTAAATTAAACCAACACAATTAATGTAAAGAGACGATCTTAATGTAAACTACCTTCAAAATACGGCAAGTATCTATGTATATACCGAAAACACATATTTTCTCCTATAAATATGTAATTTTCTAAAAGAAATATATCATCAAAATATGGAATATGGAAATCTACTAATTATACTTAAATTAAACCAGTGGTTATTTATAAAATATAGTTTTGGACTTACTTTTATTTTCTGAACAAATTATATAGTTTGGTTTTTGGGCTTAGTATTAAGAAAAAAACTCCAAAAACATTGAATAAACTTTTCACCTTGAAAGACCAAAAATCAATTATTATATTCAGACTCAAAAGTTATTTAATATTTTTAACAAAACAAAATTATCTATTATTAATCATTTATTTAAATCATGTACTTTAAAACATGTTAATATATATATTTTTTATTTTAAATAACAATCACTTTGTTTTGGTAAATTTCAATGGTAACTTTTAAATAATTAATTATTTTATTTTTCTTAAATAATTTACTGATTAAAAAAATGTAAAGCAAAACCAAAAACCAAATCTAAAAACTAAAATCCAAAACCAAAACACATGTTATATTTTTTTTGCTTTGTTTATTTACAAAATAAAATATTTCAAATTTTTTTTTTAAATTGTTGTCATATTTTCAGTTTTAAATTAGATGTTCGATTATTTGAGATTTGTTTGTTGGTAATATTAGTTCAAACTAACTCAGCAGGTTTAAAAATTAAAAACCCAAACCAAAAACTGAAAATGATAAGTAGAAACTTAAAAACTAAAAACCAAAATCTAAAAATAAAAAAACTGAAACTTAAAACTAATGAAAAACAATCATCACCACAAATTTTGGTGAACTGATTTTATATCAAAATATTCTTTAAATTAAGAAAAAACCCAATTATATAAATTTTTAATCATAAAAAATTTCCGCGCTTTTCAAGCGCGGGTCAAAATCTAGTTTATATTATAAGACATTAGGAATATAAAATAGTAAAGATAAGATACAAATACATATATCCAATGAGTTAATATAAAAAAGGTCAAAAACCTGTCTGTCACTGGGAAAATGCAGAGATGGATCATAAGAATTTTCAAAAGGCAGAATGATATTTTTCAGATGAATTGGCTCTTCAAACCAATTTTCGAATCTTCAGACTCTTCCCATCGAATTTCGTTTTGACTCTTTAAACAATGCACGCCGTTCGGCGTAGTCGTACTTCCTATACATAGCCTCCCTATACTATCTCTGCTACTTTTCTTTGCCAATCGACACGTTAGAGCCGTTTTATTTATTAACTATCTATCATATTCAAAAACAGCATGCAGTTTAATTCCACAATTATGATTTCCAGGCCCAAGTTTGAGTATGAGAGGTCCATTCAGCAAACATTACATGCTCAAAGGACCAGAGGAGGAACACAGTTTGGTGTACGCATTACAAAGTGTGATATATGAATTAACTTTTGTCACATGTTTTGGAGTCTGACTTGTTATCAAGTCACTGTTCAGGCAAAGTTCTGAAGCTATCGGCCTTCCCACCCGGAAACAGACGTGGGGACAAGTGTAATCGCATACGAGGCACATTCTAATCTGCATAATCCCCGAAGGTGAATCTGTTTATCTCCACAACACAGATGAAAACAACAGTTGATAGATAGGGAAGTACTACTTTGATATATCTTAAACAGCCTTCATGACTTCCATGGAACTAGGTTCCAGAACCTGTCCTCCAAACACTATCTCGTCTAACACTGTGTGCATCTGCAACATTGTGAACGAAATATAGACACAAATTACCACTACAAACACGTTTTAGTTTCATGTGGTTATTCAAAAAGTGTGCAGACTATTATTCAGCACCAGGCTTTGAATATGATGGGACAAACTATTATGCGTAATATACCAGTACCTTGCTGTAGTTGAACACAATGTCGAGTTCACAGACATTATTGCTGAAGCATTTGTCTAGTACTCTTTCAGCAAGAACTACAAATTAAAGAACCAAACTGAAGTCATCATACTATGAAAGATACACATTTCACAAGCACTAAAAGAGGAAAAATCAATGAGCAGGAGAATAGACAACAATTCATATTTTTAACATCAGTTCCTGACACATGTAGAGTCATTACTATAGATTTTAAAGCCAGGATGTTCTCTCTATACACCAAAATCACCGTGAAATAAACGATTTGATTAAAGAAAGCCTCTCTACTCCTGACTCAAAATAATCAATCCAAAGTACAAAAAAAAACAATATCTATGTCAGCCACATCCTATACACATCACCTGAGCTAGCATACCATTCGTATTTATCTGTAGTTCTTTCATGGCAACAAGCTAAGACACTACAACATAAGACTCTGATTACTTATTTTCTCTCTTTCTATATTTTACTTCCTCAAAGCTGATCATAATCTCATTTTTTTCCTCACATATGCACTTTCATACACTGAATATAACAAAAGCAAAAGGGGTTTACGTATGAAGAAAAGAATGTGTCAATTAAGATGTTATATTACAAACCACACAATATGATTTCTCTTCACATTCTTGATTGGAATTCAAGAACAATAGTGATTAACAAACAGATAAAGAAAAACGAACGATGAATAAGATCAAGCATAGCAAGCTCATTCTCTGAACCATCAAAAACAAGCACGCAATATAGAGTAGCATAGTGTTTGTATACAAATAATGAATCAATCTCCAGAAAATTGCTCAGATGCTCATTGCTCAGGTCTATGCACTATACTGTTAACAGAATGATTATATAAAACAATCAGAATCATACAGTCTCCTCCCTCAAACTCTCCAATACCCTCATCTCATGAAAATTCAATTAATGTAAAACCTTCCGTCTGACTTAGAGTCTTCTGATTGTGATTATGGCTTTACTAATAACATTTAATGACGTCATTACTTGCCTTACTTAGAGGCTCTTCGCAGTGAAATGAGAATCGCCCACGTGTAATCATTTTCGAGTGCCCTAATTTTAAACGAAAGTGAAAACTGCGGCGGCGTCAGGGAGCAAATGGTGAGTGGCGATCTCCGTGACGAGGACGAGATAGACCACAAGGAAATGCGCCTAATCGGCGAAAATGAAGGTAACGATGCATCGGAGGATCTTCAGAAGCATCGCATCCGTTCGATCGAATCAACGGTTGTGATTCGTCAGTTACCATCTCAAGGCATCTCCTTCAAGCTCTGGCTTCCTGCGAAAACTCTCGTCACGCTTCTCGATAACTACCGTCGTGATCCGAGCAACAGCCCCCTCACTAGCTCACTCTTGAGTAACGGCTCAGATTCTCCTCGGATCAACATCGTGGAGCTCGGATCTGGAACCGGAATCGTCGGAATCGCGGCGGCTGCGACGCTAGGTGCTAACGTTACGTTGACGGATCTCCCAAACGTTATCGAGAATCTCAGATTCAACGCCGACGCGAACGCTGAACTCGTGGCTAGATTCGGTGGGGAAGTCCACGTGGCGCCAGTTAGGTGGGGAGAAGCTGGTGACGTGGAGGGCGTTGACTTAATTTTAGCGTCTGACGTGGTTTACCACGAGCATCTTTATGATCCATTACTCAAAACGCTGCGTTTGATGCTTTTGGGTAAGGACGGTCACAAGAGAGTGTTCCTTATGGCTCATCTTAAGAGATGGAAGAAAGAATCGGTTTTCTTCAAGAAAGCTAGGAAGGTTTTTGATGTTGATGTGATACACTGCGATGATCCTCAAGAAGGTTGTAGAATTGGAGTTGTAGTTTACCGTTTTACCCCGAAAGATCATATAATTACCAGATCATAATCAAATGTTGATAAATGAAGGTTGAGTATTTGGTCTTATTAGTGATTTCCTGAATCACTTCTTGTAGCTCACTTACCGATCGTCATCTTGTTCAAGAAACACACAAACGAATCCAAAAATCACCTAAAAATTTCCCGTAAAAGTCACAGTTTAGTGTTTCATGCTAATACGTTTTCGTTGTTTTTATACTTGTTCACACAGTTGGCACATAGCTGATAATTTTTTTTTCTAAAAAAGGTTTAAATAAAAAACTTCCATGAGGTAGATTACTAACTAACTTTCCCATATCTTACTAGAACATTGCAAACTTATTCTTGTGAGAATTCATGACTACATACATTAAATACATATCTGATCTATAGTAGGTTGAGTTTGTATGAATGAAGGTGATTCTTCATGAAGTAGATTATAACAGTGAGCTGTTTCGTTAGTCAAACTGCAGGTAAATACAAATGCATTTAGAACGTTAAACTTGAAATGGTGATAACAATTTCGAAGATAACAATTGTCATTAGCCAACCTACACTAGCTGAATAAAACTCTTGGTAGCTCAAAAGATTCTTATTTGTGATCCAGTCAGATCGCATCAAACCGTTATATTAAAATTACAATGTGGTAAATATAATTTTTTTTTAAAACCACTTACAATCTAGGGCAAATCTCTAAAATACATATTTCTAAGTTAATGTAACAAAATAGTCCTAAAAAATAAAATGACCAAAATAGTATTTTATCTTTTAAAATTTTTTAATTTTTTTTTATTTTCTAAAAATTGAAATCTAATGCCCAAAACCCCCACTTCCCAACTCTAAACCCTAAAACCTAAATTATAAACCCTAAACCCTAAACCATAAACCCTAAACTCTAAACCCTAAACTCTAAACCCTAAACCTTAAATCTCACCCCTTTACTCTAAATCCTAATGTCTAAATTAATTTATTATTGGAATATAAATGTATATTTATCTTTTTGATAAAACATTAAGTGTTAGTTTAGTCATTTTTATTCTTAAGTGCTATATTTGTGAGAAAATTTTTTTTAGTGATATTCTAGTCATTTTCTCTACGATCTAGTACTATTAACTTTGCATATTTTTTAAATAGTAGTTATTAAAAAATGTTAGATATTAAAAAAATAATATGATTTTAAAGTGTTTTTTGTGTGTGGAATTTCTTGATTAAAAATATGATAATAAAAATTTCACAGTTAAAGATAACATTTTGGACGTTAACAATAGAATTTTAGGATGTTATAATTACTTAATTCTCAAAAATATTTAAAAATCTGTTTAAAAAATCTAGTCTAATCATTAAATATTGTACATCCCGTGACCTTTGAAAACAGATCACCAAATTAATCAAATCAATTTGGTCTTCTTCGGTGAACGAAGGTTGAAGATTGAAGAAAGAAAGAGGATAAGCAAAAAAATGACGTTGGGACTGGTAAACGCGAATCCAGTAGTGCAAGCTAAGAAGGAACGTATCGCTCGTACACTAAATCAATACAAAGATGATGGCCTTGATCCTCTCGACATCTATGATATCCTTTCTTCTTTTTTAAGTTTTTGGTTTAGATTAGTTTTATTCTTAATAGTTTTTGGATTTTTGTTCTTTTTTTTTTGGATTCTTTGACGAAAATAGACAAAGTATGTAAGAGACATAAGAGATCCGGAACACCCTTATTCCTTGGAACAACTAAGTGTTCTGTCTGAAGATTCCATCACTCTCGACGACAATCTCAATCGCATCCTGTGAGTTCTTATCCTCTCTTTACTTTATCCCACGGTCTAGTCCGAGTAGATTATGAGAAAGAAAGTTCCAAACTTTTAATTTTGGATTTTATCAAAAAAAAATAAAACTTTTCCTCTTGGATCCAAAAGTGTGAAGCTTTTTTTTTTTGTGTGTTCATAATATTTAATGATTTGTGAGTTTGTTGATTTTTGCATGATCTTTAACGATTGTGTGTTTTGGTTATGTTATTGATTCAGGATAACGTTTACACCGACGATCCAGCATTGTAGTATGGCAACTATAATTGGTCTGTGTTTGAGAGCTAAGCTTAAAGAATGCTTGCCACTCCATTATAAGGTCAACTTTGCTTTTAAGTAAAAAGACAGATTCTTTCAGTTGTCATTTGTTACATCAGTGTGACTGTTTCTGCTTCCTTTTACTCATATTCAGGTTGATATCAGAGTGTCTCCTGGTTCTCACGCTGATGAAGCTTCAGGTAAGGAAGTTATATAGCTATCCACTAGTTTAAGACACCTTAAGTCATGTGTGCTCTCCTTTTAAACTTCGGCAACTGTAGAGCTTGCAAGAGCTGGATGATATGTTTATTTCATAAACTATGGTTTTTTTGTTAGTAAAGAGTTAAGACTATATTTCAACTTTGTATTCTGTGAAAGTTGATGTCTTTTTCTCTGAATTTTAATGCATTACTGACATTTTTTGGTGTTGTTGCAGTCAATAAACAGCTGAATGATAAAGAAAGAGTGATAGCTGCATTGGAGAATCCTAATCTCCGTCAGCTTGTAGATGAGTGTATCCACTCCACTGAGATGTGAACCAGAGCGTTTTTACTTTCACTCTCTTGTACAAATTTCATGTTCAGGATTATATCGTATGACTAAGAGACCAGACCGCCTTTTGTATTGCTAATGTTACATTTTGGGTTAGTTGAATGTTGTATACTGCTTTGGTAATGATACAAAACCTTTTAGTCTACTACTTTGATCACATAACTAATGAGGTAACCGCAGCTTGAAGTTTACCATACAAAACTAGCAAAGAAGCTGTATATAAATCAATACATTTTTCCTTGTGATTAACTTTCTCTACAGTTTTGAGGATGGATATGAGTTTATAAGAGATGAAACATCTCTCAAAGTTAGACTATTACCAATAATTATCTGTTATTTTACTTGTAATCTGTACCTAAACTATGAACCTGAAACCAAAGTAATTGGTAAAAAATCTGGTAGAGTTCTGCAATTATAGCGTGGTGAACAAACGTAACATTGTGCCAACAAACTCTTTGGTTAAGTTGTTTAAGACAGCCAATGAAGAAGAAGACAGACTCTTCCGTCAGTACATGTCCTGTCTGCATTAATCACACATATCATGTCCTGGTCATGTAGATATTGTATTGTACTGTTATATGGAGGCTATTTTGGTGGTTGTGGCAAAACATTCAGTTGACCGTTTGTTTCACTGACATTGTCTTGTTAGTTTAATCAACTAGTTAGTTGAATTATATATGATCTAGCTTATGAGCGCATCATTTGCTAGTTTTAACCAATAATCAGATATGAGTTTTCAATTCACTGAAACTGCAGTACATAGAGAAAACTCAGGATAGAAGTAAAAGAATACATGCATTGTCGTTAAGCATGGATGATATGATACACCCTTGACTAATAAAGTTTGTGTACCAACAAACTTTCAAAGCATGATTGCGGTTCTGAAAGTACACCATCATTATATATACAAACAAAAATAATAAATATTGACCAACTGTGTCTTTACTTCTGCATTTAAATCATGATTGTTTGAAGATTTTACAAAGTGTTTACATTATATTCTAAATAATATTTCGATAGAATCATTAGCATTCACAAACAGGAGTTGAAAAATAAACTACCGAAGCAACAATGAGAGGGGAGTGATTAGTATATGATTAACAAATGAATATGACTTTGCCTCTTTTCAGTGCCCAATTTCTTGAGATTCTGGCTGTTCTGCACCCAATATATTAAACAATTTAATTCTTTATATAAAAAAGTATAAAAGACACAAATATTTATTAAGAAAGACGCAAATTGATCCACTTTTCCCGAACCCGAATAATACTTGTCCATAGATTATTAGATTTATTAGAATTTTCAATTGCTCACACTTCCAAGGAGAGATTTGCATCAAAGCAAGGAACAACTTCTCCAATGGGGGCAGAGAAGCAGAGCTCAAAGAAACAAGCATGGTGAGAAGAAGACAAAACATTAACTACAGTAGTAAGATTATGAACTTTAAAATGCTTATCTTCTTTTGTTTTTTGGGTGCAGGTTCTGTACCACTGGCTTATCTAGTGACATGGAAGTAGAAATTGATGACATGATATATCATCTCAACAAGGTCTGAAGTCTAAACAACTTCTTGTCTGAATTTCATAGTACTATTACAAACTAAGCTGAGATTTTGTTTCCCTTTTCAGTTCCTTCTAATGTCCAAAAGCAGAAAACTTCACCAGCTCATTACAGAGCAAGAACAGAGTGACAAGAAGAGTAAACCCCATGAACAAGAGGAAGAAGGAGAAAACAGTTATACTCCTCACATAAGGCTTGAGAATTTTCCCGGAGGTCCAGAGATTTTCGAGATGGTGGTTAAGATATGCTACGGCGTCAAAGTCAACCTCTCTGCTTCCACAGCTGTTCTACTTCGCTGCGCCGCCGAGGAGCTGGAAATGACTGAAGAGTATTCACCGGACAATTTAGTTTCGCAGACGGAGAACTTTCTTAAACACGCTGTCTTCAGTAACACAGGAGAAACCATTAAAGCCCTAAAAGCGTGTGACTCAGTCTCCTCTCTAGCCGAATCAATTGGTATAACGAAACAGTGCATAGACTCCATCCTCTCCAGACCCTCATCACCAGCTGATCCGTTGTTCAGCTGGCCGATAAACAACAAAGACTCAACGAAGAAACAAAACAAGGGTTCAACACTAGAGCTTTTGTTCGAAGAACTGTCGGAACTGAGCTTTCCAATCTTCAAACGTGTAGTCCAAGCAATGAAAGCCAAAGATCTGAGTGAAAACATAGTAGAGACCTCTCTGATTCGCTACGCCAAGAAACACATTCCGGTAATCACGTCAAGGTCATCGTCATCTTCACCAACCATAGCGTCGGAGAACCAACAGAGACAGTTGCTGGAGACGATAGTCTCATATCTTCCGATACAAACCTCAACAACGAGGTCTCTCTTCGGCCTTTTACGATCAGCCATCATCCTCAACACCTCCGAGAACTGCCGCACGGTTCTTGCGAAAAAGATCGGTTCCCATTTGGAGGAAACAACGCTAGACGATCTTCTCATCCCAAGTTACTCTTACCTCAACGACACGTTATACGATATTGACCTTGTGGAGAGACTCATACACCACTTTCTTGAAAACGTCACCGTATCGTCTCCGTCTTTGACGGTGGTTGGTAAACTCATCGACGGGGTTCTTTGTGAAATCGCGTCAGACGCTAATCTCAAACCGGAAAGATTCTACAGTTTAGCGGTTTTACTCCCTGATGAAGGGAGGATATACGATGATGGACTCTACAGAGCAATCGATATATATCTCAAGGTGATTTCTATATGTTTAAAACCGTTTAAATACTTTAAAAATTAATGGTGCTGCCCAGGATCGAACTAGAGACCTTTTGCGTGTAAGGCAAACGTGATAACCACTACACCACAGCACCTGATGTTTACTTCTTTGTTGTTTTTGTTAATTATAGACGCATTCATGGATTTTGGAGGGTGAAAAAGAAAAGATATGTAGTGTGATGGACTTTCAAAAGCTGACTATAGAAGGGTGCACACACGCAGCGCAAAACGAGCGTCTGCCACTACGAGCCGTCGTAAAAGTCTTGTTCTTGGAGCAACTTCAGCTCCGGACGTTAGTAACGGCCGTGACTGAAGAAGACGGGGGTGAAACGGCGGGTGGAGAAAAAGTGGAGATTAAGGTATTGGAGGAAGCTGTGAGGGAGAATCAGGTGCTTCGCTTGGATATGGATGCGATGAGGACGCGTCTGTACCATTTAGAAAGAGAATATTTGAACTTGAAGGAAGTGATCGCTAAGATTGATAAGGAAAGTGCGTATGTGGCAAACGATAGGGCGGGAAAGTGGTCTATCAGCAAGAAGTTTGGATGCAAATTCAAGACACAGGTTTGTGATTCACATGTGGCAACTATTGTTGATAAAAGATGTCAACGTCATTAGTATATTCTTATACATAAATCAGACCATCACGTACTTGTTGTATTCTTTATACTTAATAATTTATAGTATAATACTGAACGCATATGAAGTTTGTAGTGGTATCATCTTTATGCTGGATAAATGGGTGCACTACTCTTTTCCCTTGATTGCATTTTATTTTGCATAATCTTTTTATAAGTTTCATACAATGAAACTTCTATAAATTAATAATGTTAGAACTACACCAAAATCTTTTTATCATTTTAGAGTAGTTCAGTACTTGTGGACAACATCGCTTTTTATTCACCATTTATAAAGTTTTATTTTCAATGGCGAAGGAAGAAAAGTTGCTGATAAAAGCTGATGTCCCTGATAACATTTCGTTTTTCTTTCATCATTATGTACCAAGTTCAATTACTATGCTTTTGCATAATGACTTTGTAATCTCTCCATGAAGTAACATATCAGACGTTATAAAAAAAATAAAAATAAAGTAAAAAAATGATTTTAAACTCACTCGAATCTCAGAAACTAAAATACACAGAGACATAAACAACATTGTTTATTAGTTATTACCTTCTAACTATTTTATAAAATTGAGCTAACTATTTTATAAAATTGAGCTAACTATTTTTAGTTTAGTAAATTTTCTTTTTTTTGAAAGAATGTTAAATTTTATTCAAACAAAAAAAACTGTTGTACATCAAAGATGCGTCAATCAAAATTGGGAACAAACCCAATTCAATCAAAAACAAAAACTAAAAAGAAGAACCAAAACAAAACATCCAAACACCTCTCCACAAGTTTAACCATAGAGAACAAGTCCAGACTTGGGATGATCATAATATTATCCTCATTAAAACCCCATCAAAGTAAACCCAAATGGGACAAACCTTTGATGAGGAAAAAGAATAATAATATTATGATCAAAGAAAGGTGCAAAGATGAAACTTGCAGAAAAAACCCCATAGAAAGAAAACAAAACCAGAGAAAGACTCACTCAAATCTTCTAGTAAACCAAACTTCCATTGCCTTCATGTATCTCTCACTGTTCTTCCTTCTCAGAGAAGTGATCCTATTACGAACAAGCTTATCCAACCTAGCAATCAATCGAGAGGCGTTCATAGACAGATCCTCCATCCTTCTGACATTACGCTCATACCACAGAGCATGAATCACTGCTTGAAAACAATATCTATAAAGAAAAGTCCGATCTCTCCCGTGCAACCCATCCACCAGAACCTGAACGGCGTTAGGCCAAATATAAATCATGTCATTACCCGCCAAAAAACCAATAGTACCACACCAAACCTCTTTAGAATAGGAACATTCAAAGAAGATGTGATCTCTTGTTTCATCCGCAGAATTGCAGAGCCAACAAGTGTGAACAGCCTGCAGATTCCACCTGATAATCCTATCACCAGTAGCTAACCTATTAAGCATAGCCAACCATCCAATAAAAGAGAATTTAGGAGTAGCTTCCGAGAACCAAATCCCCTTATACCAAGAAACCTTATTAGTATGAGTTCTGATGATGTGCCAAGTCTGAGAAGTGAAGAATTCAGCCTTGAAAATACCATTTCCCTGCTTCCATAGCCAGACATCTTTCAATTGATTAAGACCTCTGTCCTTTATGAGCAGAATCTCTTTCTCAATCTGTTGATAAACCAGCTCTCTGTGCCGTCTTGTTCTATAAATCTGAACAACCCTTTCCACAGTAGAAAATATAGGAATACCAAGAGTGATACAACCTCTTTCTCCCGCTAAGTCCATCAAATTTCCCAATGGAGACCATTTATCAAACCAAAACAAAGTATTTGATCCACTGTTTATCTCAACCTCAGTCAACTGATAAGCCAAATGTCTAAGCTTCAACAACTTTTTCCACATCCAAGACCCCAAAGTGGTTTTTTCCTTGATACTCCAAAAAGAACCTTTTCGGATCAGGTACTTCCACACCCAATGTACCCAGAGCGAAGACTTGGCAGACAAAATGCGCCAAATAAGTTTCAAACAAGCAACTGTATTAGCTTCAGTAAGATTCTTCAGACCTAACCCTCCTTCATCTTTAGGCATACACACATTTCTCCACGCGATCTTGGCTTTTGAAGTTGACATATTCGGACCATCCCACAAAAAAACAGAACATATGATGTTTATCTCCTGAATACAACTGCTCGGAAGCCTATAAGCGGATATCCAGAAATTAATAATACTATAGAGCACTGAGCCAACAAGCTGAAGCCGGCCTGCAAAAGAGAGATATCTTGCAGTCCAGGTAGTTATTCTTGCCCTAATTCTGGCTATAAGAGGACTATAATCATGTACATTCATTCTCTTAGTAAGAAGGGGAAGCCCCAGATATCTCACCGGAAGAACACCAGCGCCAAACGGAAACTCTTCAAGAATAGAGGCACTATCTTCAGCTTTTACACCAGCTAAATATAAAGTAGACTTCTCGAGGCTAATGTTGAGACCAGACATTGCAGCAAAATTCTTAAACACAGCAAGAATACCCTCAATAGATGTCTTTTTACCATCAGAGAAAACCAAGACATCATCAGCAAAACAGATGTGAGTTAAATTCAACTCTCGACAATAAGGATGAAGTTTAGTAAATTTTCATTCTGCCTGTTATCTTTATATGGGATTTTGGTTTAATGGGTGTAAACGGTCACGGCAAGTGAAACTGGAAGCGGCAATTTTTGGGATCCTCGACGAACGACGGCATCGTCGCTCGTTGGTTATTTCTCGTGCCATCAGAAATATAGGTTTCTGGTGTTTCGGATTTGTTTGTGCTTGGATTCTTTGTCCGATTTTGGTTTAGGTAGAGCAATCAGATGCTGCAGGAGCCGTTGTATCAAAGTTTGGGGTCGTCTTTCTCTCTGGTAGCTCGCGGTGCCCGATTCTCGTTCTCGACTAGTCTCGGTTTCTCTGGTCCAGACTTGACTCATTATGAATCTGGCTTTTTGGCATTGCTCCGCTATTCTGCGGATTTGGTTTATTCCGTCTAGAATTGTTGTTTAGTTTTTTTTTTTGCAATCCGCTATAAGTTTTCTTTGTAATTTCTGTCACAAATTCAAAATTTGGTATAATAATTTAACATTTTACAAAAAAAAAAAAAAAATTTCATTCAGTTTCGGCTCATAATTGAGAGGATATCCAACCGAAAACGCGGAAACCAAAGGAACAGGTCAACGAAACTGGTACATCTGACACGTGGCGCTTTAACCTCTCTCTACTCTATCATTCCATCAGAAATGAACACGTCACTTAGCACAAGTGACCCGCGCCGCTAAACCAGGGAAGATTGAGCAGAAAAGAACAAAAAAAAAAAAAAGCAATCATTTTTTTGAGTTTCGTAGCTGGATGAATATTCTTTCTATTAATTAAGAGAAATAAAAATATAAAATTATTGTGGGTTCTTAAAAGAAAGATCGATTAGTCTTCTGTTTCAGCTGAGGCAAAAAAAAAGGAAGATGGGGCGTGTGGATGATTACCTGGCGATGAAGACAGACGTCGAAAAGGTGGCTTTAGTCAATTCCGACGTGGAGGAGCTCAAGATCGCCGCCAAGAAACTCCTCACCGATGTTTCGAACCTCGGTGGTTTAGCCTTCGGTGTCTCCCTCTTCAAATGGATCGCTTCTTTCTCCGCCATGTGAGTTCTTCAATTTTTCTCAAACGAACAACGAAAAGTTTCGATTTTTCTTTGTGGGTTCTTCGATTGTGATCTTGGGTCAATCGAAATTGAGACAATTCGAGATTATAGATTGAGATTTGGAACATGATTTAAGATTTTTTGGTGTGCTGTGATGGCAGTTACTTGTTGATATTGGATCGTACAAATTGGAGAACCAAGATGCTTACTTCACTCTTGATTCCATACATCTTCCTCACCCTTCCTGGTGTCATCTTTAACTTCCTCAGGTAACTCGAATCTTTTTTTTTTAATCTCAAAGTCTATTAATAGCAATGGTTAAAAGGGACAGTGAAAGTTTCCCTTTATGTTATAATATCAGCGGAGACGTTGGGAAGTGGATAGCTTTCGTTGCAGTTGTACTCAGACTTTTCTTCCCTAAGCATTTCCCAGGTGATGATTATCTCTTCCTATCTCTTGCTCCACATTCTTCACTTACATGTTTGTAGTGTTTTCAGAGCCGGCCTTGAGATTTTAAGGAGCTAGAGATAATTCGTTAAAGATTTCAACTAATTTTTTTTTTTTTTTTTTACAAATTTGGGTGCCTAAAATATATTTTTTGGGTCTATATCTAGTTTTTTTCGAAGGGGAGGCCTAAGACAAATATTTGGTTCAGCTTTGTTCAGGACTGGCCATGATTGTTGTCTCAAATATCTTGAATATGGTGCTAAAAAGTCTCACTTTTTTCTTTTCTTTTGTGGATACTAGATTGGCTTGAGATGCCTGGTTCTCTGATCCTTCTGCTGGTAGTGTCTCCACACTTCCTTGGTCACCATATACGCGGAGGCTGGATCGGCTATGTCATCTGCCTTTTCATTGGATGTTACCTTCTTCAAGAACATATCCGAGTATCTGGTGGGTTTAGGAACTCGTTCACGCAGCCCCGTGGAGTTTCAAACACTTTGGGGATCATCCTTCTCCTTGTCTACCCTGTTTGGGCTCTCATCATTCGTGTCTCATAATCACCACCAATATCTCTTCCCATCTCCAAGCTGTGTCCCCAATAAACTGAGCAAGAACCTCGGATATCTTTTGGTGTTCCTTTGTTCTTGCTTCTGTTACATACCTATAAATACTAGTGCGTGAAGCTCAATCAATGTTCTACATTAAAAAAGAAAGAATCTCATTTTTTTTTTCAACTATCTGTCTGTCTGTTCTTGTAATAAGAAAAATTTTATGTGTAAAAGTTGCTTGTTATGGATTATGTTTCGTATATCCACCCATGGAATGGTTGTCGTTTTAATATGGCTAAAGGATAATAAACTGCACGCTATTTGGATCTCAAGAATTTAGATTTCGTGTCGTTTGCAGTATAACCTTTAAAGAGAAGAAAACTACGCGCTGTTCTGTTTAAAACAACTAAACTTCCTGTTGTTTTATGTGGGGACGGCTTAAAAACCTTAACCCTAGTTTGGCTTCAGCATAAATACTATACCCTCCGCCGGTTTCAAGTATATTGTCTTCTCCTATTTCGTTGCTCTATCCTAATTTGACTCACAGAGTCTGCTTTATTCATATGTCCGCTTTATCGTCGTTTTGTTAATAGTTTCGATTTCATATCTCTATGGTTCCGATTTGGTTTTATTCTTGATTTCGATTTTGTTCCGAAAGGGGTTTCTCAGTGATGAACAAAACATAGATGACGAGTCCGATCAATCCATTCTTTAAATCGTGGGGACAAACGAGGCATTTGTCTGAGAGGAAACCCTTTTCTTTTGTTTTTTTATTTGTATGTCCAATTTATCAACATCTTGTTAATAGTTTTGATTTCGATTTTTTATTTGTGAACGAGGGAAATAGGTTTCTCAGTGATGAATAAACATAGATGACGAGTCCGAGAAATCCATTCTTTAAATCATGGGGACAAACGAGGCATTTGTCTGAGAGGAATCCTTTCCCAGTTCTATTTTAGTTTTCATGTAAACGGTTTTTAAAAGGTTTTAGTTGTTACTATCTTTTAGAAGAAAGGGCATGATGAGGATTGTTTATTGTCATCTGATTCATGATGAATCAATACCTCCTACTCATTCTGAGTGCCATTTCTTTTTACTCGTATGTTTATTGTTCGATAATTGCGATTGTTTTCGTTTGCATTTAAACATCATATATTGGTTTGTTTTGTTTACATTATGATATGTTTGTTTTGTTTCTCAGAACTTGATTTCTAGTCCATCAATTAAACGATTGCAAGGATAAAAAGTGGTTGAATTCCAACCTTAAATTGGAAACTATAATTAGATGGAGAATTGTTTCTCTTATGAATGGTTGTATAGCTAGTAGTCACTTATAGTTGATGATAATATGTTTCAAACAATTCACAGGACTCTTCCTAAAAATGAAGTTGCCAACAATCAGAAGAGTTGGTGATGAAAATGCCCTGAACTGGAGCCAGCATTGTAGTGAGTTTTGTACTCATTCCCAATAAGTTATCTAGATGTATCAAGAAAGTGGTATCCCATTAGCTAACTGATTTCTGAGGACTTCATTCTGTCGAAACAAAGAAGAACCGAAATTAATCGAAACTTTTTTAAAAATTATTGAAAATTCGGTTTAAATCGGAGGTTTTCAATTTAATTCAGTTTTGGTTAAGTTTAATTGATTATTAGTTAACATCGGTCTAGTTTCGGTATAGACCAGTTCAGTTATGGTTTAGCTTTTTCTTAAAAAACTGTGGTTAGCCGTTTAGCTCACTGAACCGAACTGAACCGGTTACTGATTTGATTTTGAAAGGCATTCCGAACCAACAGAACTCATAATCGAAAGTGAACCGAAACCGAAAATTTCAGTCTTGCTCAAGTTCGGTCAGAATCCGCAGGGGTGTTCCAGATAAGGTACCAAAGGACGTGAAAATCCAAGGGGTTTGGTATGGTCAGATTGAGTGACTTTTAGAATTTAACTCTTGTTAATTGTATATAATTTTTTTTTTCTTTAACGCTGAGATTTTATTAGAATCAATTAAAATATCTTATTTTATACTCCTTTTGTTTCTGTATAAGTTTTTTTTTAAAGTTTTCACATTAATTAAAAATGCTTAAATATTCTGTTTGTTTGAATTTTTTTTTAACACTATATAATTATGCATTACAAATTATGAAAAATTACATAGATGATATTACAGCCGACAATTTTACTTGCCTTATGCGTAATCATGTCTGACTGCATCATCCTGAACCGTCCTTTGAGATCCATTTCTGATGGTATGCCTTGCGTCATACTAAAGATCTATTGTAAAACTAACGGCAAAACTGGAAAAAAATTTAATATTTACCTTAAAAATGCAAAAACTACATTTGAAACAAATGTTAAAAGATAAAAGACACTTAATAAAGAGGGAGTATTAATGAAAGTGTTCAACTAAGGGCCTGGCTGGTTCTCCCGTCATCACCCACAAACGCAGCTTTTGCAATTGGTAGCAGTTGTTGGCGTTTTGCACAATCATAGAAAACACTATAAACAACTTCAAATCGCTCTGAATCTCTAAAATTCAAAAGCTGGTTCCTGCTAGCGTTTGCGGTTGCGGGCGATTGCGGAAGGATAAAAAATATTTTTTTTCCAAAAAACTATATAAATATAAAAATAAATATTCAATTCAATTTTTAAATAAAAATAATTGAAATACTGAATATTTATATTATAAAATTTTCAAAAAATATTTTCTTTAATTTTTTTAAAATTGAACAATGCAGTTTTTTCAATAATAATTTTATATTTATCATGAAAATATAATTTTAATATTTGGATGATTATATAAAATATAAATATTGTTAATTTGTTACTTAACAGCCGTTGTATTTGATGATAAACCAGTCATAAATATCCCGCAAACGTAACATTTTTTAACCGTTGAACCAGTCGTATAAATCTCTTACTAACGCTTGAAACTGCAATCTCCCGCATCCGCAACCGCAGTCGGACCCTAATAGACTGATATATAAATAGTTCGATAATTTAAGTTTCATTAAATCAAAATTATCTAGTTACAAACACACACAAGTTTTTTTTTTTTTTTTTGAACACCACACACACGAGAGTTTAATGAACCGTAAGAAACGGAACATGGATTTAAACGAGACAACTAAGATTGAGTTACGTACTGGTTACATATGATGTATTATGAAAACTGGAAGTTGCTAGTACAAGAAAATATCTTGTCGAATTATTCTCCCTTATTTATATAATAATAAGATTGATGCATTCGAAGTTGGGTGTGATGGTATGTTTGAGTATTATAGATGACTATGATTAATATAGTTTGTATTTTCCTTAATAATTCGAAGTTGACTAAGTTTGTTATGATTATTATGGTTGGACTCCATTTGTTAATAAGAACTAGCGCATAAAGCCATAAAGGGTGTCAATTCTGGTCAATATATATTATATATATAGAGAAGAAAGTATTTAAAACTGGAAAGTTTAACATTTTGCAGCTGATACAGAACAGTCCTACAAAAATATATTTGATTATTCAACACAAGTAGTAATTAGCATATACTAATCAGAATAAACAATTATTCAAAACCAAACAATTTGTTTCCATCTATTGCTTGATAAATGTTACATTTGTAATTATTATATGAAAGACTTATACATTTCAACATTAAAATCTAAATAACATATATTTATATTGCCCATTATAAATTAAAAAAACGTTGTCAGTTTATGAAGTAATTATTTTGTAAAACAGCAAAGCAAAAGAGAATAAAGGGGAAAACAGAGTACAGTTGGCGCCGTCACAGGTATGGATGAAGAAAGCTCTTTTTTTTTTTCTTTTCTTTTCTTTTCCAAGAAAATGAGTTGCGTTGATGCTTCTTCTTTTTTGTTGTTGGGATGATGAAAAGAAAAAGAGTAAGTGGATGGAGCATGTGCCCGGATCGTTTGGCACCAGCGCCAGTTTCGCGTTACGTTTCGGGCAAATCATCTTCTCTTTCGCTTCTCTCATCTTCATGTGCTTGGACTACGATTTCTATGACTTCACTACCTTCTGGTGATACCCCTTTCCCTAAATTCTTGTTCGTTTATTATTAGCGAGTCACTAGTATTGTCCTGCGACTTTGTGGGTTCTGTTCGAGTTTGAATCGATGATGAACATATGATTCTGAGGAACAAAAGATGTTAAATTTCGGGGTTGGTTTCTCTCTGTTTGTGTAATTAACAGATAATTGTTGGAAATTCTGAATTTTGATCAGACAATTGAGGATAGGGTTTGGTCTCTGTTCGTGGTTTTGATCAGACATCTGAGGATAGGGTTTGGTCTCTGTTCATGGTTTTGGTCAAACAATTGAGGACGTAGTTTGGTCTCTGTTCGTGGTGTTGATCAAACTAAACATTTGAGAATAGGGTTTGGTTCATTGCATTGATTTGGTGTAGGTTGTGAGAGAAAAAAATGAATCAATTTTATTTATTCATTCATAAATATCTGATTTTTCTATTTGAAGCTATTTGACGACTGTGATGGCTTTTGTAACTCCATGGAGCATCTCGCTTGCACTTGCCGATACATACTCTGTTTTACTAAAACAACTTCCTCATGAACCAAGACTTCTATCCATGGTTCTCGCCGGTGATATAGTAAGCGATGCAAAAGAGTGTTTTATTTATCTTCCTTATATATCTCTGCGTATTGTAATATTATATTCTTTCTAACAGGTACTGTCTTTTCTTTCTCTGGGTGGGGCTTGTGGTGTAGCCAGTGCAACCGAGCTGCTTTTGTCTATGGGTGCACCCATCTGCGGCGATAACCTCTGTAGCCAATACCAAGTCTCGGCTACATTAGCCTTCTTGTGTTGGTTTCTGTTACTTGCTTCAGCTCTTTTCAATCTTTGGAGTTTACCTTCGTTATTATACTGACGTGGCTTACATATATAGATAGGGATCATAATAACAATCATAGGACATGAATGTACATTTCATTTACTCAAGAACATGTTCCGTTCATGTAAAGTAAATTATATATATAAATAAAAGTAAATCGTGTACTTTAGGCCTGAGCATTTGTAACTTGTAAGTCCAAAATTCCAAATTTGAAACGAAATTCTGAATATGCATCCGTGCCAATCTTTTAAAATATATATAAATATACTAGGGTATGGGTATGCAAATATAAAGTAATTTAAATATGTTAATTGACAAAATAAATTTAAAAAAATTTAATTTACTGAAAGTAATATTATATTAAATAATTTTTTATTTATGTTTCTTCATTATCAAAAGGAAATTATGATGCAAATGTCTAAAACATTTTTCTTAATGTCTATTCTACTTTATTATTATCAGTAAGTAAAAAACATGAAATTTTAGTTGAAATTCAACATATAAATTATGAATTACTCCTACCTCTTATACTTTTGTTTTTAAATTCACTGAGGCTTTTAAACATATTGATTCAGATAATACAACAAAATATAATAATTGTTTCACTATAAAATAATTAATTAGCTGGATAGTATAAAAATATAATACTAATGGCTACATATTTATTTGAAATATTTCCCAAATAAACATGTTATCCAAACTGATTAGTTGTTTTTTTTTAAAATGTTACTGTTTAGTTTTGAGTGTTTATTTAGTGATAGTTTGTATTTCAAAAAAATAGTGATAGTTTTACTTTTATCCTATTATTTTCTGTGTTTCATTTTAATATTTTTTCATTATGTATATAATTGATGTATTTTATTTAACAAATTGTTTATTATTATTATTTTTAAATTATTTTCTTTTAATTTTGATTTATTTGTTGACAAAAAATATTTATTTAAAATAATATCTTTATATATAAAGAAGAAGTATACTCTCTTTTCCTTTACACACATCATCAAGTGATGTCACAAAATAGACACACCTTGAGATGACATCTGTCCACGCAAATAAACCAACCGGTTTGATACATTGTTTTGGGCCTCAGCTTAATACCCATTAATTTTTTTTTGAAACGATGTCTGATACATCGAGAAGGGTTCATCGACGCCTCCTGCTTCAGCCGTCGAGCTTTTCAGATTCCCCAACTGTTTATCCACGATCTCTTCGTATGCTTAGATGATATTAACTCTATCATTAATCGCTCATCTACGATGAATGCTAAAGCTTAATGGTTTCATGCGGTGTTCTTGCGTATAAAAGGGTGAGATTTTTTGTTCCCACTCTTCATCCAAAATCTCTAAATTCCGCAAAGTATTTTATGCTATGGCTAACATGAAGGTTCTCCTTTCTGATCTTCGGGCCGGTCGCTCCTCATCAACCGTTCAAGTCCGGCTGCTACGCTTCTGGGAAGCCAAGAAATTTCGCTGTGGTGGAGAGGTCATGGGCGTGGACATGCTCCTCTTGGATTCTCAGGTGATGTTTTTAAACCTCCTTCTATTTTGTTTAATCGATTGAGTGCTGAGAATTCGTTTATTTTACTGTGATTTGGGTGCTCGATATCTGTATCATCTATTTGAAAATCATTTGATGTATAGATCTTATGAAGATTTGATTAATAATGAGTTAATATATTTGTTTGTAGTTTAATCTATTAGCATTCGTTCTAAGATAGTCTCTGTTTGGTTTTACGATCTGGATGAAGTGTTCGAGTTTTACTGAAGAGCACTAAGAAGCTTTTTTTGTATGTTCTCTTCTCCTGTTTGGATCATTGATTTGATGTTTTTGCATATGCGTGTTGAGAGTTGTTATTGTGTTCTTTAGGGTATGTTTGACAACCGTAGGATCTGAGTTGCAAGTTATCAACAATTCTAAGAAAGCTATTACTGTGGGAGTCGATTTCACCCTACTGTCAATAAATCGTAAAAAAGGAAACTTCGGGAAAACCCTAAGTTTCCAGAGGAACCGGCTATCTGCGAGAACCGCACAACAAAGATTAAGATGACTAAAACACTTAGAATAAAAACGAAAATAAGAGAGGTTTGAAAGCAAGAAGGTTCTTATTCCGAATCTGCGTTGAACTG